CCCCCCCCCCCCCCCCCCCCCCCTCAAAAATCGATCTCAGCCCAGGTACGTTCAAATGGGCTGAAATTTGGAGCATATGTTGGGGCTGAAGTGTGGAGGCTGTGATAAAATTTTCAGCTCGATACCCTGATGTTTGCCTGAGATATTCACCAAACAAGGGTCAAAAATAGGTCATTTTGGTACAAGGATTTCTCAGTCCGGACCCGTCTAACATATTTAAATTTTTTTTTTGTTAGAAAGAGCATGTCAGGATGCAGAGCACTACAGAGTCCTTTTTTTAAGATTCTTACTTTTTTAGCGGAGAAAGGAGATCACAAGTCCAATGACTCAAAAAACGCCCCAAAAATGGGTGTCCAGTCACATAAGTGTCTTTATATATAATAAAAAACAAAGCTTAATTAAAAAAAGGACTCTGTAGTGACCTGCATCTCGACGCGCTCTTTCAAACAAAAAAAAAATTTAAATATGTTGGACGGACCCGGACTAAGAAATCCTTGTACCAAAATCAAAAAATCGTAAATCGAGAAAAAACGAAAAACATTTCTGGATATTTCAAAAAACCGCTGGTTTTTCAAAAACTGGTTCTCTGAAATTCTGGAATATTTCGGGAAAAAATGGAGGTTTTAGGAAAAATTTTTATTGATTTTGAAAGAGCAGACGACGGGCTATTTTCCTATGTATTTATCTCAATTTTGACAGTTCTCACGAAAATTGACTTTTGTTGAGGGGGGGGGGGGGGCCTTAATAATTCCATCTATGTTTATTCATAAAAAATGATATCAATATTTTCAAAAATAAAAAAAAATTCGGTATAATTGTATCTATTGTTCATGACATCGCATACAAAAAAAGAAAATTGATTAATAGTATTAAATTTAATCAAGATCTCGATTATGACTAGATTCTTCGTAGATAAATTAAAAAGGATGAAATTATTTAAATTTTTTTTAGGGAGCTTATAAAACTACATGACATTTTTTATTAACTTCATTGGTTCTATTGACATAAAGAAAAGTCTACTTCTAATTTTTTTACATATATATAATCCAAACTATGAGCAGGTGTTATGAAATGATTTGTCTGTTCCAAATAGATCTAAAGCTCAAGTCAGTATCAACATAAACCTTTAGAAAATTCTAGGCAAACAAAAAAACCTTTCTTATAAGATTTAACCAGTTAAGAATGCGATACAATAAAAATTTAAAGAAGAAATCTTCACACTTATTGCTATTGAGATTCATGTTATGAGTTAAAGACTAAGTAGTTTTGATTAGGAAGTTGAAAAAAAAAAAGCTCAAATCGTGATAAAATCTTTACGATCGTTTCGTTTTGTGAGAATCCTCAAAAATTTACACCTATTGAATAACCTATAAAAAACAAACTTGCAAAGATTTTAGATCAAGGTTTCGATAGGAGATTCGTATTGTCATGTAAAGAAGTGAAAATACTTAATTGTAGAAAGTTCGAAATCGATCCGTGATCGAAACTACTATTGTTTAAAAAACTGTGTTCCATACACCCACACCCTATTAAGTTGAAAATTCGTAATACACATTAGAAATGAATTCAGAATGAAAGATTTGATAATTCGTATACAGATCATTGTTTGTGCTATAATGTAGAGTAATGAACATGACAGATTCTTCCAATATTCTTGAACTTACTTACGAAAATTATTGATATTTTTTCAATGACTCTACTCTATATTGACGTGGGAGAGATTTGTTTGAGTTCTTTTCATCTACTAAAATTCGAACTTACGTATTTTTTATCTAAACTTATCTTATTTAGCACTTCGATTAGCCTTTCTACAAACAATTAAAAACAATCTATTGTTCAGTTCTGTTTAAATTCAATAGATTGGTTCAATATTTACTTGTTTGTTTGAGATTCAGAAATCAAACAAACATTCAATCCTATTTAAGTGATCGATCGAATTATGGATAGAACGATTGATTATAGAAAAATTACTCAATAATGAAAATATAGTTAGTATAATTAACTATCGTTTTACAAATTATTTTAACCAGTTTATAAAACTTGAAGTAACTACAATTTTACAAGGGCTTTTTAATGAGTAAAGAAAGATCAAATGAATTATTGTCTACCAAGATGTTTTTGATGAATTCATATAAAGGTTGCAAAGGAGGGGGGGGGCATTTGGCCGTAAATCGGCCTGTCGGACTTTTTTCAATGGAACCCCTACTATTTTATATCAAATGAAAGATCTCGTTGTGATAAGCATTTTTGGTGACGGAACCAACTTTTTTTTTCATGAGTGTTATGTCACTACTTTATTTTGAAAAGATAGAGTCACTGCGTGCTCACCTCCCCAAAAAAAAACTAGGAAGCACGTATATATAGTGAAAGAAAAATTGGGCTAGTCAGGAAAGAAGTTGAGACGCTTCTTCGGCTGACTGAAAAATGAACAACAGGAAAAAGACGTCAGTCAGGAAGGATAGGTCAGACGGGTAGGAACGTATATGTAACAATTGAAAAGAAAAGAAGTGAAACACTATGTAACAGTAAACAAAGGAAAAATGATAAAAGAAGTCCAGAATAACATAGATCACAGGTACCGAAGATAGAAGAGAATATCATACACTAAACGAGTGATCGACCGTGTGATATATGGTAAACCAAATGGCCAATACATAACAATGAGTGAATAAAAAGTTTGACCATGGTCCATATGCGATATTTTTGGGCCTAAATTGCTTTTACAATCAATATGATATAGTACACCTATTCATATGATGACCACAAGATTAAAAGATTTTCTTTACTTCATTTAGTAGGCCATATGACCCTCTAACATCAGGATAAATATCAAGTTTTTTGCTTTAGTCCTTCTGACTTTATAGTCAAAATATGATTCTCAAAAATTCGAAAAATCATCTTTAGACT